AACGACCTCCTAACTCGCGAGGGCTCACGAGGCCCTATTCCGCCGTTTCGCCTCGTTTCTGTGCTCACCGCCGCACAGCACACGCGAATATCCACACAGCCAAGCCCTGATGGCAAAGGGACAAATGTTTCCCTGAGGCTGGCAAGCACCACGCCGACCACGGTCCAAGAATTTGGTCGGACACGGGTTGGACGTTTGCGGTGAACTCGCGAGAATCCACAGGGCCTCCACCATCCTCACCGAGGACCCGTGACTTCTCGCGAGTTGCAGGCGGGGACGAGTTGTGAACCGGAAAAACCTCGCGAACGGAGAATCTGACAGCGTTCGCTAGTTGATTCTGACCACAATCGCGTGGGTGCTATGCGGCGGTGCGTTCATGAAACGAAATCGTTTTTTTATTCGTGTACTTTACCGTCCGGCGAGGCCCATAGGGCAGATGTGGGGACGGGTCACTCTGCAAGAGCAGTGATCTTAGCGTCGTCCATATGGAGACCTTGGTCAGACACATGGTGTCCTAGGAAGTTCACTTTGCTCTAGGCAAAGCGGCACTTACTAAGCTTGGCATAGAAGTCATGCTTGCGTAAGCGTTGTAGGACATCGCGGAGGTGTCTGAGATGGTCTTCTAAGGTACGACTATACACCAGGATGTCGTTCAGGTATACGAGAACGTATTCTTCGGGGATGTCCTTGAAGATGTCGTTCATCGCCGTCTCGAAGGTGGCGGGTGCATTGATGAGGCCGAATGACATCATTGTGAACTCGTAGTGGTCGAAGCACGACCGAAAGGCGGTTTTCGGCTAGTCCTCTGTGGCTACGCGGATCTGGTGGTAACCGCTACGAAGATTGATCTTCGTGAAGAAGCGGTTGTCTGCTAAACGGTCAAACAACTCATCCGCGCGAGGCATGGGGTAGTTGTTCTTAACCGTGTAACGATTAAGGCCGCGGTAGTCAATGCAAAGGCGGAGAGTTTCGTTCGCTTTGCCAGCAAAGAGGACGGGTGCACCTCAAGGGGAGTTACTGGGTTTAATGAAACCCAGTCGAAGGAGTTCCTCAAGCTGACGCTTGAGTTCCTTCGCCTCTGGAATCAAGAGTTGGTAGGGTACTTGATGGTGGACACGATAGTCAGGCACAAATTGGATAGAATGCTCAATACCACGCGTGGGAGAGATCTCGCTGTATGAGAAATACGGGGGGGAAATGTCGCAGTACTCTCGAATCAAATCGTGAATGGCGGGCTCTAAGTCAGTCGTGTGCTGCACGAGTTCCTCAATGTCTTCGTCGACACGAGACGTATGGGAGGACTCGACAGTGAACGGCAAAGGGACATTGGATGTCAAAGGGGTATCCGCAGGCTGACGAGTGGATATGGAGATGCGAGTCGTGAAGATGGAGGAAGGGTCAGGGGAATCGGGCTCCAATGAGATGAGCTCAACCACTTGACAGAGTGGATCGTAGAGAAGAAGATCCATGACGTTCACTGAGTAGAACGTGACGTCCTTTTGTCGTATGAAGTGAGCAAACTGACGAGGAGAAGTGAAGGCGATGTCTGGGTGGGACCCATAGGGACGAGGGTCCGGGGGAGGTAGGTCTGGAGGGGTGTCGCCCGTGGTTCCAATGAAGGGGACTCGATGAGTTTGACCACACTTCGTTTTGAGAACGAGTGTCTCAGTCTCAACGAAACCGGCGAGACCAGGGAGTGTCAAGGATAAAGTCGTACCCAGTCTCCAGCACGTCGAAGTATGCGGAGGAATGGTAGTGTTGAGGCGTCTGGGTACTATCCGATGGTTGGAGGGTAAGGGAGAAGTGGAGATCAGGGACCGTCTGATCGAACAAGCACTGCGTCTTGTTATCTCCGAGGGTAACGAAGATAGGAGAGCAAGACCCAGGGGTAGCTAGGCGAGTTTCCTCCAGCACGCGAGGGTGAACAAAGTCTCTCTGCGAGTCAGAGTCCCGTAAAACGTGGTACACCCTCATAGATGTCCCCAGGCGAATAGGGATAATGGGGAGGGTGCGATCAGGATCAGAGAGCAGAGCAAGAAGACGACGCATGACGTTTATGTGTCTCGTGAGTCGCTCCTGGCGAGCCTGAAGGATGCTCAAGTCCAGGAGACATGACACAACGTCATCGCGAGTCGTCACTTGGGCACTACAACAAGGTGTGCGAATGGCGAGATGCGTCGGGAGTCTCGGAGGGGAAGGGCTAGATGCGGGGGTCTGTTGTGGGGCAGGCGGAACCTCGACAGACGGCAGGGCAGAGGGAACTACGTCTATCGTGTCCTGAGGATCCTCTGGTGGGTAGCCAAAGGGGCAAACCTCGACTCGGTGGTCGGGAAGTCAACAATGTGCGAGGCCTCAACGGTACACTGCACCGTGGCGAGCTGGGTGGGGCTGGCCGGGTGGGGCCGGGGGGACTGAGATCGACGCTAATGAGAAATATTAGTGTAGTGTCGATTGAGGGCGGCATGGTATGAACACCGTGAGGAGGTGTGTCCATCCTGGCGGCAACGAAGGCAATCGTGACGGACCTTGAGGGCGGCACGCTCCTCAAGAGATAGAGCTCCTTGAGGAGGGACAAAACCCTGTGGGAGGTCTATCTGGGGAACCATGATAGTGCGGGCGCCAACCTGTGCAACCCGACTGCGCGCACGACCCATGGCGGACATGGCCATCTGCAGGCACTCGGTCACCGGGACAGTGTTCTTATCCAAGTGATTTTAGATGACGTCTCAGAGCTCGATGTCCTCGGGGGCATCCCTATGGGTCGGGTCAAGCTCGGCCAAGGCGTCCTCGTCGTACTCCAAAGAACTATAGCGCCGGGAGAATGACACTCCAGATCGAGCTGGTCGACGAAAGACGCCGGCGAAGGAGGATCGACCACGGGTAGCACCACGTGACTAGGTGGCGGTGGCGGTGGATCACGAAGAAGATGGGATGTCGTAGAAGCGACTCCGCATCTTCTGATACTGTCGAGCAGCCTCATAGGCCTGTTCTAAGGAGGCGAAGCTCTGTTGCCTGAGTTTGATGCGGTAGTCAGTCGGAAGATTGACTACAAACCTGTTGGTCAAAAGGACCTCAGGTGGAAGTGCCTCATCACAAATTAGGCGAGAGCCCTGAAACACTCTGATGTGACGCTCAAGATCGGCTAGTGCGGAGGACCCGCGCCACTGCATCTGGGTGACCCGATCTAAGGCGTCGGTCGCATCGTGGAAAGTGTCGTAGCAGTCATAGAGGAACGTGGTAAAATCCGCGAGAGTAGGAGTCTCACCTGCGCGAGTACGATGGTAATAATAGTTCTCCCATGCGGAGAACGCGCTGCCTCGCAATTTAGTTGCGAGCGCGGAGCACCACAACGCCGGGCTAGTGTCAGCCAGTGTCAGCGCGCGTGTGGCAGCCTGCAACCAGTGCGACACACGCATTGTAGCATGAAAGTCGGGTATATCCGACAGATGCACAAGGGTGGGACCGCTGTGCTAACGGCGAGGGGGGAGAGGTCGAAGGGCCTGCACTGCGGCGACAAATGTCGAGGCCGGTGCAGTCGTGAAAGTGGTAGTAGGCCGAGAGTCGGGCTGTTGGTGGAAGGTCCAGCAGGCGTGGAGGCAACAGATACAGCCGATTGTGACGGAGTAGCGAGGTAATAGGGTAGAGGGGAGGGAGCCGGTCGAGGGAAACGAACCGGCAAGACAAAGGTGGGAAGGGTGGTATAGGAAGAAGACGGGTGAGCAGCCTGTGAAGGGTGAGGCTGTCTCAGGGAGAGAATCTCCACCTGGAGTTGCGCCACGGTGGCCTGTAGGGTAGCCACTCGCTGGGTGCGCGGGGTCGGAGGTGGAGGTGGAGGAGGCGGAGAGAGTACCCTAGCGGGAGGAGGGAGAACTCCGGGCCGTAGTGTCGCGACCAGTGCATGAAGCCGGGAAGCAACACCGGGGTGGGTAGATGAAACTGCCTGGCCAAATACCGGCATCTAGGCGACAGCACATGTGGCAGTGGCCGAAGCGGCAGGGGCGGCGAGAGCGGCAGGGACCAATGGATGTGCCGCAACAGATAGTATGGTCTGAGCGGCAGTGACACTCACCACTGCGGAAGGGGAGTGTTGGGCCTGACCCACGGAAGAGGACGAACCACCACGTCTCCATCCCTTGAGTCATAGAGATCCGGACTCAGAGCCGGTAGGGGATGGGGTCTAAGAGCGGTGGGGAGAGCGATGAGGAGAACCCTTGAGGCGGTGAACTTCAAGGGCAAGCGCATTGACTAGCCTCTCCAGGGGTGCAAGCGCATCGAGTCGCGCTTGCCGAAGTGCAAGGAGAGATGCAAGAACAACGTGAAGGTCCGTGGGGTCCACAAAGGGCTAACCCTGAACCGTCGAGTAGGTGGGCGCCTGAGAGACGGAGGGCGCCGCGACGATATCGTCAGTTATAGTCTCGTCCGTGG